TTGACAAAATGTGCCAAATTCTGATTTATAAGAAAATTGTTAAACTAAAAGTTGTTTGCGATATCGATCTCTATAATTTTTGTTTATAAATGATTTTTCTAAAATGGACCGTAATGGAAAAAACGTAGAAAAAGTGCTAAATTTAAATTTTTCAGTATTTTCGTTTTCAATGAATATCTATAGAAAAATGTTTCGAAGTAGATGTATGTGGAAAATGTATATATTTATTTTATCCTTATTATTAATATTATTATTATTATTATTAGTCGTTTTACCAGCTTTTTAAATAAATATTACTGGTAGTAATGATGTCTATACGATGACATTTCATTCTAAGGTTTTCCTGGCTTAGGAATTAGGATAACTTCAGCCATTTTCCACGCATTTGTTATATATTTAAGGAAAAATGCTGCATGTATGTCAATTTAACGATAGCCTTCTGTGGCAGTTTCTTTAATATTTCTTCAGTAATAAGGTCATATTCTAGGGCTTTCTGTGGCTTGATGTTCGTCTAAATTATTTCCTTAGCAATTTCATTAAGAGTAACTAGCGTAATTTCAAGTTCTATATTAGGGAATATCTCGTTAGGAATGTCTTGATTTTCATCTAATTGGAACGTATTTTATAGGTGGTCAGCGAAAATATCAGCTTTCTGTTGATTGTCTCTTGTCCATTTCATATCTGCTATCCTGAAAGGAGGACAGTGTTTACACAATTTTTTTATCTTTTTCAGTTGTCTTCCAGAGCGAATAATCAGTTCCTTTATTATCTATTAGCCCTATTAGGTATCTGTTAATGGATTATTCTTTGTGATTTATGATTTCTGTTCTCAGTCTTCAAGTAGCCCTATTAAATATATTTTATCTTCTGATGATTTTGTCATCTGTCTTTTCTTTCTTAGTTTTCTTTTTTCTGCTACCAGTTCTCTTATCTCGACAGGATCAGTTGTTATTCTTCTTACTTTTGGTGTGTTACTCCATGCAGCTACTACTATTACTAGATTTTAACTATAAACCTTTCCACTTCTTTATCTAGCTGATTTTTCGTTTTTAATGTAATAGTTAGTTGAATAGTATGTATTAGGTCGTCTTTAAAAACTTTCAAATTAGTTTTTCGATTTGCTAGGGTCGGTTTTGCTATTTTTTGAACAACATAATCACTAACAGTAAGAATTACTGCAAAATGGTCTGAATCCATATCAAAGTTTTCTTCTATGTGTGTATAGTTTGGTGAATTTTTTTATAATAAAGAAATCCAAAATATCTGGAATCATATTTGGGTCAGTGGGCCTCTATGTCGGTTTTTCAGAAAATTGGTATGTTCAGTTAAGTTCTGATGCAGCTCGATGCATACATTTTTTCCTTGACTGTGGCTAATCTTAAACCTCAGATAGTGTTTTTGGAGTTGTAATCTCCACCGATTATAAATTTGTTACCTAGTTTGAGTATACTGAGAAAATTTTCTTTTTTCTGGCTGTGGCTATTGTAATTTTGTCCCCCTTAGTGTTAATGGTGCTAATGGTTACCTGATTTTCTGGTTCTTGGAGGCATGGTCCCTCATAGCGAGAAATGTTATGTTTAATAATTAACGCACTTGTTGCATTTGATGGGTGGATAGTGTGACAGAAGTTGTATCCTCTAAATTGAATGCAAAACTCCGTTGCAAGGTGGGTTCCAGACATCAGACATATACCTATTTTTGATACGTCCAAGAATACCATTGGCAGTCCAAGTGGGTATTCTAATAATATATGTTTTGTCCATTGGTAGTTTTATTACATATTTGGGGTTTATTTAATTATTCCAGCTTCTGGAGCCTGTCAGAAAGTGAATTTATTTTGGTTATTAAGGATAATAATAATTCATAAGTGGCTAGGCTGGCTGACTGTGCTGTACGTTGCGTAATTGGTGGTGTGGGATTCATAACTGGTTGTGAGCTTTGAATTGGTTGCTCCTGTGAGTTTGTTACCCGAGAATATGTTATTTCATTTCTGATGGTAGGAAAAGCGTTGATGTTGATGGGTCTCCTTTACCTCGTCATTATTTTGGGTTAAGTGGTATTATCCCTCGTTATCTGAAAGATTTTAGCTACCTCATATCCTCTATAGTTAGAAGGATGTTCCATTAATCAGTTTACACACATCAATTACTATTATATTAAGTTATTTAGTGTTATACATAAAGTCAATTATTACACTTGAAATTGTGTAGAATTTACAACATCGATGAAATTAAGTGATAGGTAATTATAAAGAAATGAAGATAGGTTAAATTTTCTACATTTTGATTATGTTGTATATAGTATGTATGTATAAATCCTATAGGTAACTGCAAATTGTCCTCTTTTAAAAAGTACACTTTTCTTAACTTACATTTGCCGCGTTTGAATATCCGCATCCGATACATTTTTTACATCTCGAGCGTTTGTTTATCCACATCAGACACATCTACTACATCTACATATGCGTTTGTTTATCCGAGATGTACCTGTCCAGATTACATTTTTTACATCTCGATTTGAAATGAGATGTTCGTTCCATGCCAGAAAGTAGGTGTTCTGTGAAGCCAAGATTATTGATTTATCTTATACTTAAGATTTATCTTTTGTTTATGGTAGCATGAATATAAAAGTGATTAGTGTGTTTAATTTTTGTTTAGAATTCAAATTTAGGTTGATTTCTAGTCTCAAAAATCAAATATAAAAATATAAACTTCCAACTTGTCATTTTATCACGTGACCAATAAAGTCTAGAGCGTTTGTTTATTACATCTACATTCAGATCTAATTCTCTATCACGTGATAAAAAAATCACAACATCTCAGATGCATCCGATGTGGATATTCAAACGCGGCAATCGAATACAGTTATTTTCCTAGTAACACTGTCTGACTCATTCACAAAATTCGCCCTGTATAATGTACTAAATTATTGGGTTTCCACGCCATTATAAGACGCTTCTAGATAATTACCTAAGGTTCCATTGTAATACCCTCCGGTTATCTTAAGATTATTGACTTATTTCAAACAAAATAGAAAATACCCAGTACTTAATAGGTATACGTAAATCCGAAAAATTACCTGCAATTCCAAAATTTACTTCCATTAGGATAATTAATTATTTTATAATAGTTTAACGGCAATTTTAATAACTTTTCCTAATGGTTCTCTGACCTGTGGGTTGTTTGTTATATTTTTGTGTGAATCAATCTGAGAGGTACAGTGCTACGAGGAAGATCTCATAATGTTTTCGTTGCTGGTTTGTTTTTTGGTATTCGGTGCCACTAGTGCCACTAGTGCTACTGGTGTCATCCATAGACGTAAGTTATAATTTCTATAATTTCCGAATTTGAACAATTTTTTTTTATGTGTAGTAGTTTAAAATCTTTCAGTATATACAAACAAGGTGTCATTGAAATGGTGTAGAAAAACTAGATGGTTGTTTTATTTTTTTAATAAAAAAGATAAAATTATGAAAAATTTAACTAAAATTTCCACATTTATATAAATTTTACCTCTAACTCGTCTACTGATATTTATTAAATTAAAAAGTTAATCAATAACATATTTGAAATATTTTGATATCAGCAGATGATTTAGCAAAACGTATGTGGCAAAGTGTGGAAATTTTCATAAATATTTCCATTATTTAAATTTTGAAATTTGCATAATTTTGGTAACGCAAGTAATTAAAAAGTAATCAAAAACGAAAAAATAGAAAGTGAAAACAAAATTAACTAATTATCATTGCTCAAAATTACCAGCATTTTGTAGAATACCCTTTTTAGGCAAACCTGATTTTAAAACTGTATTCGTTTGAAATAAATAGTGTACAGATGAATATCTTCCAAGAGTTAAGAAGTTCCACTCCATACTATCTATCTCCTCTTAACGTATACACATTTATCAATGAAACACCCTGTATATACTTTTTTTTTTAATTTCAATAGCAATACATTAAAGATTTTTCTTTTTTACATTATAATATCCATAATTATCCAATTATTTTTTCAGCAAGCTATTTGGTGCCTTGTTCTAAAAGAGGCAATTTTAGCGAATGTGCAATGAAGCATGCCGTAGCAGCCATACCATTTATGCTTAAAGGTATGTATTTTTTATTAATTACGAGTCACAACAACTACAGAGTGTAACAAAAAGATGTACATTCAATAAATGTAACCGCAGAATTTTTGTTCTTACTCTAAAACGTCCTAACATATTTTTATGAAAACTTACATGAGATGTAAGTATACAATGACCAATAAAATGGAGTTAGTAGCATTCAAAATTCTTTTAATTTTCTAGATTTTTAGAATGGTTCCTCACACATTTAACCCCCCTACTTTTTAGACAATGAAATGAAAACAGGACGTTACTGAAATCCTACATCTTCTATTAATTTTTTTGTCACTTAGTGTTTGTTCCTAAAATCCTAGTGAGTTATATGAAGATCATAGTGTAAAATATAATGCATTCTATTGATCACGATTTATTTTACTATTTTACAACTTCATAGATTATTAATATTACAAGGGAATAGTTGTAAATGAAGCTTTAAAATAGTAAAAAAATGTTGTAGAGAAATTCAACGATGCGAACCCCTTCCTCATAGTTTAAACGATAGTCAAGTTATTTTACAAAAACATTTTTCTCTTAAAATTCAATCTGCAAATCCTATTTTATCTTGCCCTACAGACAACCCAGCATGAATTAGTAAAAACCACAAATATTCTGCGGTTTAAGATTAATAGACGGGGACTGTAACTCAGTAATTAAGACGTTCACAAACAAATACTAAGTGACAAAAAAATTAATGAGAGATGTAGGATTTCAGTAGCGTCCTCTTTTTAACTGAATTTTCTTGTCTAAAAAAGTAGTGATGTCAACGGAGTACAAAACCTATAGAATTAAAACACCTTTGAACGCCACTGATTCCATTTTATTGGTCACTATATACTAACATCCTATGTAGATTTTTATAAACATATGTTTAGTGGTTTAAGAATAAGAGAAAAAAATAACTTCTAAAATTTCAACTTAATCACCCTGTAAGTTTTTTTACTATTCATTTTTTTATATAAACAAATTAGCTTAAATGGGCTTATTTTCAAACCCCTGAAACTGTGATTTTTAAATTTTTTTTTCTGTCTTCCCGATGTATTGGTTAATCATTAGTAGTAACCACTGGCGTAGCTAGAAAGGGGTTGGGGTAGGCACAGCCACTCCCAGAATGATCTCAGTCTCACTGATTTGCAGTGGTTGCATTAACTGTTTTTCATTGCCAGGTGGTTCACTGGCTTGGTCAGTTGTAAACTTGACACTGACACACAATCAGTGAACAGTCACTGATCCATTTTAAGAGAATGAAGAAACCTCAGTTTCCACTTATAAGTTGTCAAAAGGAGCAATTCTTTATTTTATACATGATTTCTCTAAAATAGACCGTAATGGAAAAATTTAAGGAAATGTGTAAAATTTTAATTTTTCAGTATTTTTGTTGCGAATAAATACAATATAAAAAAATATTTCGAGTAAGATGTGTGTGGAAAATGCATATGTCGCAGGCTTATTATAAAATCAGTCTTATTATAGTACGTCTAGGCTTTTTTAATACGACTAGGCATATCATAATACTACTCAAATAATTAAGAATCTCACAATTTGACTAATAATTTCAGGCGTGTTATAATAAACCTGCCGCTTGTTAGTCTTATTGTTAAATTGAACCGACTCACATGTGGTTTAGAATCCGACTAGATTTAATCCACGGGGGTCGGATTCCATGTAAATAGTTGGTAACAAGTTTGCTTGACCTCGACAATAGCGCGCTAAGCGCTTACGGCTGAAATACATCTGTCAGTTTCAGTCGATAAAGTAGAACACTACTAATTAAAGCAATTTAAAATTGGCGGGCTTGATAATTTAGATATTTGAAGCAATTTGAAGTAACATTTTCCTATTTGATAATTTTTACTTACAACTACTAAAAAAAACAATAAGTTTAGTGAATTTTTGTTGTAGGTAAATGTTGAAAAATGGAAAATGTCACTTGTTTTAACTGAAAAATAAAATTAGTTGAAAAATAAAACACATTTTTAACAAGTTTAATTTATTTAGCATTACCATGTGTCTCATTATCTTCTAACTGCATATTTTGAACATAACAAGCACTATATCACACACTAAATGGGCCCGTTCACTTTTATTTTTGAATGTGAATTATTTATATATTTATAAAGATATTAAACTCTTTTGTCTGGTGGTACTTTTCCCGTTAAGATATTTTTGCTAGAAGTAAGGGAATTCCCATAAAATTCTTTCAGTGACTCATTGCGTCAGAAAACCCCTAATTCCCTTCAGGTCTCGTATCAGTTAATAGTTAAAATGGCGCGGTTGTCGGATGTATCATTGCACCACCATTCCTCTTCTGCATTTATTAAAGAAATTTACATGATAAAAATATATTATTTTTTAAAAATAATGTGTTTATATTTTCAGATAAAGCTGGAAGCCCTACCTTTTTAAATTTTAATAAAAACAATTAGTATTACTCAAGCTGAATATTACCAGATCGAAATTTTTTTCGAGAAAATGTATCTGGTAAACGTGACAACGTTGTAAGTACTTCTAACTAGTGTTGTCTACAATGTCTACATACACTTCTAGAAATAAATGCAACGTTGCCACGTTTACCAGATAAATATTGCAAATCAAATTTCTACTTTTTGATTATGGTCTGGTTAATTTTCAGCCTGAGTAATAATAATTGTTTTAATTAAAAAGTAAAAAATAAGCTCCCAGCTTTAAATCTGAAAATATAAGTTCATGATTTTTAGAAAAATAATGAAATTTTACTATTTAAATTACATATATAAATGCAGAAATGATATATTAGGGATACTTCCGACAACCCCGCCGTCTTTAAGCATAACCGATACGAGACGTGAACGGAATTAGGGATTTTCTGACGCAATGAGTCACTGAAAGAATTTTATGGGAATTCCCTTACTTCTAGCAAAAATATGTTAACGGGAAAAGTACCACCAGACAAAAGAGTTTAATATCTTTATAAATATATAATTAATTCACATTCAAAAATGAAAGTGAACGGGCCCATTACTGAAAAATAAAAATATAATATGATAACCAGTATAGCCCATGACAATGTTTTTATTATTAAAAAAACCGGATATAGTTTTTATAAAAAGTCAAAGTAGTTAATTTATAAACACAATTGTTTTAATGTTTTAAATATCCCTTATTAATCCAAGGACAAATCATTCTAATTCTAATATTCTTATATTTATTTTCCCTTTAAGGCCTTTTCCCATCTATTTCAATCTAGAATAGTTGTAATGCCTATTTCGGGTACAATAAGCCTCCAGCTTCAATACAGGTGGGCTTTGAAACTCACTCTAATTAATGCACATTCCAAAAATCTCCATACCCAGGAATATCTAAAACAAAACAAACATAAAGGTGCAGTGTGTATCTTAAAATTAAAAAATTAACACGAGTCATAACTTTTTTAAATTCTTATATTTTTCTTGCAATAAAAAGTATACAAATTTCAATAAAAATAGAAAACATCTGATTTATGATCTTAATAGGTGAACTATGCAAAAATTAACAAGTTGACCTAAATAGCATATAAGTTTTTGAACTTATTTGGGTATTATTTGATAAATATAATAATAAATATCACCCAAAAATTGAACAATAACTTTTTGAGCACAAATCATTCGCCTTTTTTCATCATGGTCTTTATGAGTAAAGATTAAGATTAAGATTTAATTAGGACTATGGGCCATGTGGCCTCCCCCACCTCGACCTTTTCAGATCTATTGTGGATATCCTTTAATCATTGTTTAGAGTACCTTGTCTAATTCGGTCTTTTGTAGTAGACTTCATAGACTGGATAGTAGTTATCTGGTATAGTTAGTTGCCCTTGGTTTTTCTTCTCCAAGTGTAAGGAATCTCAGTCTTACTAGACCTTCGCAGTAGCACAATACGTGTTCTGCCGTTTCCTCCTCTTCTTGACAGAATCGGTACAAGGCCTCTTCTGTCAGACCGATATTGTACATATGTTTGTTAAGCCCTACAATGCCCTGTTAATAGACCTACTAGTATTCTAGTATTTTTCCTATTAAGGCTTAGTAGATGCTCGGTTTATGAGTAAAACTAGGATGAGGTTTTATCTCGGGTTCTACAATATTTGTTTGTAAATTGGCTTCACACATTTCGCTCACAACTCCTTTCATTTTTTTGACCACAAATGTTTTAGAATGTGGATCGATTTATCTCTAAGACTAAGACTAATAATAGCAGGAAAAACATAAAATTTCTTGTTAGTTTTGTGAGAAAAATACTTGCTTCTGCAATTAAAATTTAAATGAATCAGAAGTTAATGATTTTCTTAAGAACCTCCCTATAGTTAAATCTAACTTACACTTAATTAATACATTTTACTCACGTACATTTGAAAAAAGTATTCACCTGCATTTGAAAATGGAAATAATATCAGGCTGACATATTTATAGCAACATAACCTAATTTATTTTCAAAGCCAGATTTACATCATCTAATAATATTCAAATTTAGCTTTAACTTTAAATTTATTAACGGTTATCCCTGTATTTGATCACACATATTAAAGTGAAATTTAAAGAGGTAAATCAATAAAATTATTGATTTCTTTGTCATTATTTTTAAAAACATATTTTTTTATGGGTGTAAAACGGGTTTGAATTTAGTGATAGCAGCGTGCTAAGCGCTTACGGATCAACTACCAACAAGGAAACAAGTCCCGCCATTTATTCAAACCTTCTCTTTTTATTTTTCTGTGATTTAATCCGTCGTATTATAATAAGACTGACGATGTGCCAGGCGAATTGCAATCATCATTGTTGTTGAGTTGATTAAATGTTTTTTTTTGTACCTACCTAATATTTGTGCAAAATATTAATTATATATAATATGAAGGATGAGGGATTTAAAAAGTGTTCTTGCAAGCCAAGCAAGACACAGTGTCATAGCAATAAATGTTTATGTTTTAAAGCTCGTATGAAATGTACTAACAAATGTCATAAAAGCGGACCATGCTGTAATAAATAATCCTAATCTATTTTTTTTTGTTTCATCGGCATTAACTACTAAGGTTATTAGCCTCGTGTTCTGTGTAGGCTTTGTTACTGTTTCCCAACGCCACTTTAGGAACAGCACTGTCAATTAGAACCCAACAGTGAATGGTCGAGTGGAATACTAATCTATTATTTGTATTTTTATTTCAAATAGTTTAGAGTGTTTAAAACCAATGGTTGAGTATAGTTCGCATGGCACACAGTCATGCGTCACTCGTATTATAAAGACGATTCGCCTGGCACATCGTCGGTCGTATTATAATACGACGGATTTCATCTAGTCGGATTCTAAAACACTTGCGCATCTATTCAATTTAACAATAAGACTAACAATCGACAGGCTTGTTATAATACGCCTGCAATGATCAGTCAAATTGTGAGATTCTTAATTATTTGGGTAGTATTAAAATATGCCTAGTCGGATTGAAAAAGCCTAGGCGTATTATAATAAGACTGATTTTACCATAAGCCTGCGACATATATATCCTCTAAACATTTACATGAGTAAAAATACTTGTAATAACTAGTTGGAAAAGTCATGTGTTGAACACATCAGATTTTTGTATTGTAGTATTAAAATTTTCAATATATTTTCCAATCAAAATAGCATATTTAAGGTTTTCAATTATTGACCAAATCTGTGTCTACACATTATAGTAACCCGGTTTATGTATTGTGCCTTGTGGTATCCCTATTTGAATAGTTTTTGATAACTTGAAAATAGTTCTTACTCTATAATGGTCAAGGACGTTTTAATGTTTTCCGTGTGGCACCATGTCAAAAGCTTTCGCAAAATCAAGAAATATACACTTCTTACCACCATCTAACCTCGGTTTTATAATGTTGGTAAGGTCATACTAACACCTAAAAACCTTTTTCTATTTTTCATTAAATTTGTTTTTATCTTGGTGGTTCGTAAGAGTATTTTTCTGATTTATTTGTAGATTTCGTAGGAATTTATTTAACATTTTTTTATTTTGCTACTTTTTATTTTGCACAAACTACATAGGGAAATAACAAATTTGTTGACAAATAAATATTCCGACGCACTTGAATCTTATAAATTATATCGAACATGTTAATAAGACCTTTTTTGAAGAAATTAAGTTTTGTTAGAGTCTGCTGAAGTTTTCCAATATTCGGTTGTGAAAGAGTTCCAATTTGCGTATTTTGCCTTTAATGCTGGAACTGTACGATAAGAATCGTTACTTTACTTGACGCATATAATAATATTTTTTTCTACACCAACATGAATATTACCTTATCTAAGCACAGATTACAAAACGAAAAAGTATGCCAATGTCTTCAACTGAACGAATATATTTCATATCCATTCTAGCTAGTGAGAACACTGCAAAAAAATGAAATCCGCTAATCACCGTTCATATTTTGATCAACCGACTGCTATTATTTTTAAAATTTTAAATAAGTGACAATTCTGTCAAATTAGACATCAGTATATTTTTTAGTTATTGAGATTAAACATACATTAAAATGGGTTATTCTTGTGTAGAATCAATAAATAATAGCATTACTTTTTTTCATTTATAATTATAAATAATTTATTAATTTAAATAAAACTATATGAAGTCAATTTAATTACGAGTATTAAAACAACAAAAATAAAAGAGTAGGTTGTCTTGTGTATAGCGTTCTTGCCTTCCACGCAGAGGATTGGAGTTAGATTTTAAAAATTATTAAAAGTCATAAATTATTTTAAAATTAGTTATTTTGTATTAATAACCTACATATTTTTTTAATTGTAAATTTTCGTTAGTGGGTCGTAGAAAAAACATGGATTGTCCACATCACAATCAGACGATTGAGTACTCCGCCTATGATGTCGTGCTCAAATTTCGTCTTCGTGAGATATGGTCATCATATCCACTCTTGTTGCACTAACTACTATTACATTATGGTTCCCAAGTGGCCTCTTTCGTCTCGTATCGTATCGAGAGAAAACTGTTCTCTCGTCTCGACGAGAAGGCGCTTCTCTCGCTCGACAGGTTCTTTCTCTCGTCTTGTCTCGTCTCGTTTCTCTCGTGTTAAAACAATATCAAATTAGTACCCAAATTTGGCAATAAGAAACATTTATATATCTCTGTCTGTCCGTCTGTCACAGTCGTTTTACAATTGAAATTAGAAGTAATAAGTGGCCCAGATTAGGCGTGAACTAAAAACGAAAATACTTTGTCTTGTAAGTCAGTTGGGGAGGGGGGAAGATATTAAATTGGAAGTAAGAATTTTTCTAATGCAATCCTGCGATGTCAAATGAAAGCATTTTGTAGCATATTTTCAAAATACAAGAAGATAGAGACATAAAACAAAAACGATGTGAAATTAGAGAAATATTATGATATTTTGTTATAATGAGATGCACGTTACTTGAGACGTAACATAGAGGGCGTTACTATCTTTAAATTTTCTAATGGAAATTAAAGTCATGTAATACCTCATTTGAAAAATATTATTATATTTACGTCCAAGCACACAGCTTTATTTTTTTTTTGTTTTTACAACATTTACATTCTTATTAATCCTCGTGTGCCGCAATTATCCTAGAAATGTTAGATAATATTAGAAGATAATTTTTTAGTAAGCTTTTTTTGCCCCAAAGTTATGAAAAATTTAATACGTCAAGTGGTTTTTAAATCACCTTTGATATTCTTAATTTATTTATATTAGTAAATACAAGAAGCGTTTCCTTAGTAATAAACAATAATTATTATTAATACGAGAGTTATCAAGAATGTAAATTATTAGTAAATGTCTGTATAATAACAAAGTATCAGCTACAAAAAATTGCCACTTGTGCATTTATGAATTTATTTAATGTAATTTCTGTAAAAACAGAAACCTAAATCTGTTAACATGAACGTAAAAATATAAAAAATATCTTTCAAATGAGGTATCACATGACCCTACTTTCCATTAGAAAATTTAAATCTAGTAACTCCCTCTATCTTATGTATCTCAAGTAAAGTGCATCTCGTTATAATAAAAATATAATATCTCTTGAGTTTTATCTCGTTTTTGTTTTGCCATTATCCTTTTTCATTTAGAAGTTAAAATAGAGGAGGTTACAATTTTCGTCCTCACTGTATATAGTACATTCGTTTGTATTACCTTTTCTTTGACAATTTTTCAAAAAAACGCTTAAAAATTTTCAACTTATCTTCAAAAGTAACCTCAGAAAAGCAGAATGGATTAAATATGAGAAATGATTGTATAAATTTAAAAAAAATGAAATGAGAAATATTTTTTCTTATAAATCACTATTTATAAAATCCTAATAACACAAATATCATTTGTTACCATTTAATATACATATATAGAATAGGTATCATTTGTTACCATTTAAAATACATATATAGAATAGGTGTGTTAGAGTTAATTTTTTGACTATCTCGAAATCTAATATGTTAAAATTTTAAGTTAGGATAAGCAATTGAAAATTTCAAATAGGCAAAGAGAAAATTGTTCGAGAGAGCCCGAGAAAGCTCGAGAGAAACGAGAAATTCTCGTCGAGAGATGACACTCTCTCGTCTCGTCTCGAATCTGTTTTCGAGAGAAAATTTCTCTCTCGTCTCGTTCGAGACGAGACAAGACGAGACGAGAATCTCTCGTCTCGCGGCATCAGTATTCCCAAGCCACTTTTTTTTTGTTTTCGCAGTGTTGCTGAGCGCACCGTTTTGATGAAATATAAAACTATTATTTTCAACACATTGTTCTGCTGTTGAATCAAGCTTCTTGATAAAATATGTTGGTATTTTTCCTCATTTACAGTGAAATCATACTTAACTATTCATACATTCTCATATCATACATAAGTCCCCGAGGAAATTTTACCGTAAGCTATAGGCAGATGAAAAGTTTCAGATTTTTACGAATTACTCTTTTTACGCATACATTAAATTGTTATTCCTCACTGAACCTAACTTTACATTTGGGTTGTCCAGCATATTTTGGAATGGGCAAAAATATGGACATTTTTGTCAAAATTTTGGATATTGTTAAGAATTGTTCTATCTGCCTTTATTATTGATGTTTCTTTTGTTAAATTACAGGCGACAGAAGATTAGGATTGCCTACGTTTACCCCGTTGAAGATATCCAAGATTGAAGTAAAAGGCACCAACGGTTTCAGAGTACTTTTAAAAGATCTAAACGTATATGGATTGGAAAATGTAAAACCTTTAAACATAAAGTAAGTAAAAAAACAGTTTAATCAAAGTTGGAATTATTTAAGTTTTGGTTAATTTCAAGCTATAGTCTAAGTAAAATAGGAGTGCTGTAAAATTGGGGATATAACGTCACATTTCATAGGGGTACTTTACAAAATAATTTTTATATAATATAAATAAGGCTACGATTTATAAAATGGTATACAGGGTGTTCCTTAATGACATGCTAATATTTAAGGGGTTGATTCTTGGGCCCATTTTAAGGAAAAAACTTTTTATGGACGTATGTCCTAAACCTCCTAACTTTTGAGATACAGGGCAGTAAAATTAAAAAAGTTTTTTATAATAACTGTGATACTATTATAGATATCTTTATGACATTCAGCACACGTCTTCTACGAATCAAGTTGCATTCTGATGTAAAAACAATTTTATTGTTTTCAGCAGTGGCGTCCGTACTGGTTGTGCATTGAATATTTGTAGAGAAAAAATGGGAAAAAAATGGCACGCCACTGCGTTTTTGCCTTTCACACTCGGTTCGATTTTCGGATGGGGATAAACGAAATGAACTTTTTTTCTTTTTTTTTGTTTATTTTATTTTAAAAATTACTAAAAGTCATAAATTATTTTAAAATTAGTTATTTTGTCTTAATAACCTATATTATTTTTTTATTTGTAAAATGTTTGTTAATTGGTCGTAGAAAAAATATACTGTACAACTCGAGTGGATTGTTCACATCGAACTCAGATGATTGAGCACTCCTCCTATGGCGTCGTGCTCAAATTTCGTGCGATATGGCCATCATATCCACTCTTGTTGCACAAACTACTATTCTAATACACAACCTCACACATTTAAGAATTTTGGATTGCATCAAGCCACTTCAAGTGGTCCAGGAGACACTCAAAACTGACCAATAAACTAACTTTGAAATTAAAATAAATGAATCTTGTTATATCGATTCTACTAATTCTCTAAAAGTTTACTTTATTTTCATATAATGTTTTGTTTTTGACGTGAAATGGGTAAACAGCATCGGCTATCGAACATCTTCCAATATGTCTTGCACAAGTGCGTGAGAAAGCTACAGAGAGTTAGCATTAAAGCGAGCAGGAAATGAATAATATTAGCGATGTCAGTTTATATGGATTTGCCAACTTTATATTGCGGTCACAATTTTGGTCATTTTGAGTCATGTTGTCGCTGTGCTCTTTACTATTGAAATTGAGTCTACCATAATAATTATCAAACTGTCAATTGCATTTAAAATTCAGTAGTTTTTGCAACAAGTTTGCAATACGAATATCGCAAATGATAAGTGTATGTGCAGAAAAAAATTAAATTATTGTATTTTTTTAAGTAGAATTAGGAGCCTATTCTGTAAAAATTCCTTTATATTTAACGGTCTTTAAAAATATTGGCGGCCTTTAAAAATATGTTCGTATTCGTTAATTTACTTCTGTCATTATTTAAACAGATTTCTTTAAGATAGTCCTCTAATGTATTTTAAAGATCCGTTTAAATAATGACAGAAGTAAAGAAGAAAATATTTTTAAAGGCCGTTAAATATAAAGGAATTGTTACAGAATAGACCCCTTAATATAAAACCCCTTAATATAAAATCCTTTAATATAAATATATCTTAATCTTCTAGGGTCGACTTTGAAAATCGAAGGGCACAAGTTCTAAGCACAGTTCCAAAGCTTGTTGTTTTAGGTGACTATGAGGTTGGTGGAAATATAATGATATTTGCTTTAAATGGACACGGACCTGTCAATTTAACATTTAGTAAGTACATTTTGTTTATTACATAGGGTGGCTGTAAAAATAAGCCAATGTAAGTTAATTTACCTGTCTACGCCAATGGTTTCGGCGAAATTTGTATTTTAATAATTTGGGCGAGTATAGGTTACACAAAAAAATAGCTATTTGTGTATTAAGAGATTGAAATAGAAAGTTGCAACGAACTTTTTGTTCAAGATTTTTTTCTACGATCACACTTTTTAAAAAAATAAAAATAAAAACTAAAAATTTGTCATAAATAGTGTATAATGTGTTGCCTATACCTACGTAAGTTAATCATGAAAAAAGCGGTTGATATTCAAAGTCAATGTTAATGACAAATTTGTCGCTCGACGACAAACAAAGCTGTCACTTAATGTCAATTCGCATAAAACGTCAACTTTGCGGTTAGATCCGAGAATCATCGGTATTCTCGGGTTAGATTTCGAGGCTCAAAAGCCTACTTTGTATAGTGATCGTAGAAAACATCTATTTGTGTATTAAGAGCGAAAAGTGATACTTTGCCGCTTAAGACAGAAAGCGGCACAGACCTTTTGGCTAAAAATGCACACACGATTTTTTCTACGATTACATTATTTTAAGAAATAGATATTAAAAATGAAAATCTGTCATAAGTAGTGTATAATGTGTTGCCTATATCTAAGTTAATCATGAAAAACGGAGTTGATAATCAGAGTCAATGTTAATTTGGATAAAAAAACAAAAAAATATCAAACTACGTACAAATAACTTAAAAATCATTTATTAAAACGAAATATTATTATATTATACTTGATTTAAATTAGGCGAGTAACAAAGCTGTCACTTAATGTCAGTTCGCGGAAAACGATTGTATTAGGCATTCCAACGACCTGTCAAACAATACCTGCCAGTGGGAAGGTCTCGTATATCTAAGGGGGTAGCGACATAGTCTTGCATCTTGGACGTTATTTTCATTCGAAATATCAGTCGCCAATCTTGCTAGTTTTTAAAAAAATGTACAAGCAGTTTTTTTAATTAATATTTTTATAGTGTTCGATATAAAATATTTAAATGTAATCCATTATTCATGATTTTACGTATTGTAGATAGAATACATCGTATGTCGCAACCGTCAGATCTACCAAACCTGCCCACTGGCAATTCATTTGTTTGGAATACCTAATTTCGAAGCGCAAAAGCCTACTTTGGATAGTGATCGTAGAAAAAATGTAATTGGACGGCTTTCTGCAGAAAGGAACCAACCCATTAATTTACATATTGATAAAAATAATGGACAAACATTTTCATACATTCAAAATTCTACACTCTATTTAGATGCATTATAGAGTTACATATATTTATAGATATATTTCATTTACTTATTCATGTGTGACTTTTTATATTAGAAGATTATTTTGGCAAAAATAATTAGATTCATGTGGGTTGGTTCCTTTTTGCAAATTAATGAAACAGCTGGTTAAGTGAATATCAGTATTATTGAAAACTGAAACATATATTTTATACAAACTTTGAAAACTTATATAACATTTTCTTAATCTAAATCAAAATCAGGAGATCCACTGAAACCATCTATGTCGTCATCTAATCCCCCTCTACTTTGTAGGTGTCTGTAAAAATATTTGCAGTCCTGGGGTATAAGATGCATGATCGATTTTATATCTTTCAGTTTTGGAGCCGAGATTTCTTTACCATCTGGTCACATGGGTAAAAACATATCTTTGAAGGATTTTCTGTTAGGTCTTCCAACTTACCTTTTCTGTATGTCTGATTTTTTTTTGTCTGCAGTAATAAATTTACCAGGCTAGTTCCTGCAATTTTCTCCAGTTCCCTTTGAGTTCCGCACTTGTGAGATTCTTCAGAATCACTTATTAATAATTTTAAACTAGCTGCGACAGGAACCAATTTAATTTCATCATCTAAATCACAAGTTTCATCGTTTTATGATTGGGTTTCGCAAATATGAGATTCTTCAGAATCACTAATAAATTTTGATATAACTGCAAAAGGAACCACCTCAGATTCCCTAACTGGATCATAGTCATTCGGATCATTGATAGATTCACAATCAGCTGTGATGGGAAATCTAGTCTGCTCCATATTGGATACAACAACCTATAAAAATATCACTTGATATATAGAAAAAATGAACTTTTGTAAAAATTCAATTAAAATTACCGCGCTAGTATTGGAACAAGTCTTATTCATTTCCATTTGTGGTTCGCTCTTCTGATATTCTTCAGAATCGCTCATAAATTCCGAAATAACTGCAATAGGAACCACTTCTTTGGCAACGGTATTTTTCTGCGTATCAGAGAGGGCTCCCGATTCACCCTACAAAAAAATCGGTAAAATAATAGTTTCATTAAACTGCAGAAAGGAACCAACCAATTTTTTCCCAAAATCGTACACAAAATAAATAATAATTGAAAATAAGTGAACAAAATGGATCCGTACAAAGACACATAAGATTTTTACTTGTTCGTCTCCTAAGAAGTTATTTAATACTATATTTTTTTGAATTATCTAACCTAAAAAAAGTAATTTCAACTGTTTACCTTGCTATTACCAGAGATTGCCATTTCTAAGATACGTTTCGCCCTACTAGATCCATACATAACTGCAAGGTGCTGCAAATGTTGTGACTACACAGTACACACTTTAAAACTCAAAATAAACCTTAAAAAACACATAAAAATGTACAAGAACCAAACACGTCGACACATCAATTTAAATCAGTCATTTGGCAGAAAAGAACCAACCCACTTGGATCTATTCCATGGACCAATAACTATTCTGTATTAAAGAACCAAGCCACTTGAGTCTATTCTGCAGACTATACATCACTAAAATCTTGTATGTTGGTTGGTTCAATACCCAGTAGATGACACCATATATGCAAAAGTGGCTTGGTTCTATTTTGCAGATAATTTTTAACTATTTGGTAGATCAAATGCCCGAATATTTAAGAAAAATTGTTTATGTGGGTTGGTTCCTTTCTGCAGAAAGCCGTCCAATTATTAAAACAGGAATTTCGCCAAAACTATGAAAACAAAGAACATTTGGATGGATATATAGAATAAAGAACCATGAACCATATGTAAAAATCCGAGTTTTGGCGTTTTTAAAAATTGATAAGTACTTTTAAAATAACTCAAAAAAAAATAAAAATACTACATTGAACTTTTAGGGTAAAAAAATACAATATTTTACAGATTTTTTAGTTTAATTTTGTCAAAAATTATATTTTTTTGGGGTCTGGTTCCTTTTTTGGATTACAAATAAATGATATTAAGCTTTTCCAATGAACTAAAGCACTTGGTTCCCTATAAAAACCACTAATATGCCAGAATGAGTTACAAAATTTTTATAATGTTTGTAAATCAGGTGCTTTGTTCTTTTTACAAAAACACATATTGCTTAAAACGTCTAAATAAAAAAAATTGTGTGGTTCCTTGTACGAAAACTGAACATTTAAACTCTATGTAAAAAAACAATAATAACAAGGAACCACAACAACAATAAAATTATTCAAAATAAAAACAAAACAAGCGGCTTAGATATTATTTTTAAATTCAAAGTCTACTTCGCCGTTATACCCATCGATGTCGTCATTAATGGTTTCATCACTAAATAACCGACTGTAAAAATGATGATAGGCTTGGGGAATTAAATGAAATAAAGCCTTTAGATCTTCAAGCTGAGGAACAGAAATACATTTTCCTTGGGGCCACAGTAAATCTGGCTTTTGTTTGGGTTTTATATCTACTTCTGTGTAAGCGCTTTCTTCACTATGTGTGAATTTGATTTTCTAGCTTTATTTCTTTTTCTTTTAATCAATTAATTTTTTCTCCTACCATATCTTTTTTTCGGTTAACTATTTGTTTTTCCAAACCTGCACTACTTCGAAAATCTTCTCGCTTCATTTCATAGACTATAAACGGTTTTGAATTTTTGCAGGTTTGCATAACGTTTATGTAGTCTTGCGGTGATAGAGTCTCCGTTGCCGTTGCTTTTTCAGAATCATTTGGCAAAAAGCTATGACCCGCAACTAAAAATCTCAGGTGTATGTTTTGCAAGGTTGGATGTTCTTTCAAGATATATTTCAATAGAAGGGTCAGCTTTATATTACGGTTCTGCCCGCCACAGGAGTCAGACCATAAAATGAGTTGTTCGATGTCCTTTTGTAGAAAATTATTTATAAAGATCTTTAAGCACGATCCAACCTCTTGTGCTCCTCTACCGGCAATACCTTCGAGCCATACAAGACAATAGGCTTGTTCATTTTTTTTAGCAGCGTGAATTCCTAAATTCTGGAGCCAAAGTTGCCGTTTTTAGAATATGATATTTGTGGGTGTCTTGGAATAGGCAATGTGTTTTCAAGGTCATGATCACCTTGTAATACTTTTTGCTCTAACAACCCAGCAACATCTGCAGCTTTTGCAGAATATGCGCCGCACTAATTACATGTGTCTTTTTTTAATTGTTTACGTGTTATATTAAAATGAGTGTAGAATACTTTTTATAAAAAGAAAAACTTTTGTACAATTTGTACATGCGATCTAGGGTCATATCGGATGGCAAATATTCTCTATCTGATTGAGATCTTCTGTAATGAGATTTGTACCGTGGAATTGAATTAATATGCTGCACTACTTGATTTTTCTTTCATCAGAAATTTAGTAGAAGTATTAACCCTCTTGGTGGATATTTGTAAATGTTTTTGTAAACATTTCTCTGCAAACATTGCAATCGTTAAACTTATAAGTACGTGTGAACATACGACTTTGCTCCAGCACTTCTAGTACGTTTGATCTTTTCTTCCCGAACTAATGAAATTAGAAATGGTGTTTGTAAATCATATGTACCGACATTCCAGAATTTTTTAAAGAATAACTTTCTTTGCACTACGCTAATCTTTTCGTGGCAATGCTCTTTGCAAGTACAATAATTATAATCTACAAACTTTTTGCTAAAATTTTGTTTGCCGCGCTTTGATATAAAAGATTTGTTTGTATTTTTAAGAAGTTTTCTAATTTTCTCTGTCTGGTGTGGATGCTTTCTTTTCTGTCCTTTCTTTGGACGACCTGTATTTTATTTTTGAAATTCCATATTATGTCCCTGAAGAATATTCCCTTATAACACCCGTTTCTGGATCATCTGAATCATCTGTCGTTGAGTCGTCAGAATTTTCATAATCCGGATCAATCAGGTCATCATCTACTATGCTTTCTTCATCACTAGTTGACGGGGTAAGTCGTGGACACTGGGAGTAATGATTATATTATTATCTTTTTGAACTTGAATTAAAGTAGCGTTTTCTATCTCAGCACTCTGAAAATAAAGTTTTAGCAGTTTAGTATAGGGACAATTTTTTTTTCCAAATAAATGCAAAAATACCGTTAGTCTGCATAATTAATAGTTACTACAAAAACATCATCAAAAAGTTAACGAGAAAAACACATGACATGTATTTAGCCAAAGTAGTTCAAGTAAACTTTTTAGTTTTGGAACAAAGATCCAAAGTTGACTGATCTTGATTTTACACATATTCAGTTTTTTAAAAGAGAACCAGGAGCCATAAGATAAGCAACCAGAATGTCATTTTTACTTTCCTATCTGTATACAGATATAATGAAAGTAAAATTATCATGATTTTTTTCGAGTTTTCGACGGATTTTTACGTTTTGAGGTCCCCTGAATCCGTTTTGACTATTTTCGCGATGTATGTGTGTGTGTGTGTGTGTGTGTGTGTGTGTGTGTGTGTGTGTGTGTGTGTGTGTGTGTGTGTGTGTGTGTGCGTGTGCGTGTGCGTGTGCGTGTGCGTGTGCGTGTGCGTGTGCGTGTGCGTGTGCGTGTGTGTGTGTGTGTGTGTGTGTGTGCGCGTGTGTGTGTGTATCCACCAGAACTCATGAACCGATACACAGAAAAACACCAAATTTTAAACTTTAGCTTTATTCCAGCGTCCAATGAACTGATTAGATTTTGGGCAGGGTCGGAACATCTGGGGGGGTACTTTATTAATGGTCATTTTTATATTTTATGAAATATATCTGTTATTTACGTTTAGAGAAGAAAATTGTTCAAATAAAAGTTACTTCTAATATTATTATCTATAATTTTTGCTTTATGTCAAAATTTCCTTAACTGGTCCGTATTCGAGAAATTTGACAAAATGTGCAAAATTCTGATTTTTATGAAAATTGTTGAACTAAAAGTTGTTTGCGATATCGATCTCTATAATTTTTGTTTATACATGATTTTTCTAAAATGGACCGTAATGGAAAAATTGTAGGAAAAGTGCTAAATTTAAATTTTTCAGTATTTTCGTTTTCAATGAAAATATATACAGAAAAATGTTTCGAGGCAGATGTATGTGGAAAATGTATATATTTAGTTTATCCTCTAAACATTTATAGAGGTGCTGCAATAGGTTGTACAAAATAACCGGAAAAAGCCTATAATAACTAGATAGGAAAGTCATGTGTTGGACACATCAGATTTTTACTTTTTTAGTTACAGTACAAGGAACCACAGAATAAAATTTTAGGTTATGTATCTTCCTAACACTAGGTTTACTAGATATTTGCTTCTCAACGTATTAATTTTGTGGTAAATTACAATTTTTATAAAAACGTGCTCATGCATCGGTCTTTGTTCGAAAACAACCCATCAACTAGTGCCGATACAGAACTTAGTTCCAATGGAACTAGATCGCGCTAGGCGTAGTTTGGCCTTCCAAAAAGATGCGTTCCTACATTAGGCGTTTTTTAGGGTGTATTCTCCTAATAACCGCGAATTTTGAAATTTTGCGCTTGGTTCTTTGTTCTATAACTCCATCCATTTAAACAACAATAATTCCCAGTTTGTTACTCTATACTGCGTAGAAAGAACAGCGTATACAACTAAGTAGTAACAAAAGATTTATTTTATTTGTGCGAGTGGGGAAAATGGTTGTTTTGACGTTTTGCTAATTTATTATTCATTTGTAGCCAATGGTATCTATGAGTATGGATTTGAATGGAAAACAGAGATAAGAGATGGCTTGGAATATGGTCAAATAACTAACAGCAATTTTGATTATAACCTAAAATCTGTAAAATACAATTTCGACAATATTATTAATAATGATAAAGCATTAAGTAAGTATAATCATGGCCAACAATTGTAGTTATTTGAAAAATGAACCTGTTGCGTTTGAATATTTCAATTTTATTTATTATTTATATGTATTTTTAATTTTAGGTGAACAGGTAAACAAAATTCTCAACTTAAATTGGGAAATCGTCAACGAAGATATAAAACCATCTATTTGCGACACCCTTTTATTTATCCACAATGAAATGTTTAAGAAGATTTTCACCCAAGTGCCGTTTAGAGAACTGTTTTTAGATTAAACTTTTAGATTTATTTATTATATTTAATTAATCTAATTATTTATTGATAAAACGCAGTATTGTTCGAAATAAAATTATAATTTTTAAATAGTTTTTTTTTATTAATTTATGTTCTAGTTCATTAACTGTAATGTACATTTTTCTACGCCCATGTCAGTAAACGTTAAAAATCGTATTGTCAACATTCCACTGATCTGTATTATTTTACTGGATAGGATATAGGCTATATTTAACATACTAAAAAATCGTTCCACCAAGGAGACCGGAAGTGCAACAATGCTGGCCGATTTGGGCAAATTATGGTGGGTTCACAGAACTGAAATTTGGGATAATTTGACATATCTAACCTATAATTTGATTAGTTTTTCTTCTTATTCTTCTTCTATTCCTTTTGCGGGCGATGTCCTTCGGGAAATTTCACCCATGATTTGATTTTTTATGAAAGAAAATATAAAACTGGAAACGTGAAGCATATTGTGTCTTCAGGAATGAACGTTTATTGTTTATTTCATACTCTTTTTACTTTGTTTCACAATAAAAACATCTCATCGTAGCTTGTTGACACAATCAAATGACAAATGTGATGACAAATGGAAATAGAGGTTACGTTAAATAACATCCGGTTCGCCATATTATTTGCCCAAATCGGCCAATTTTTCGGAACGTTTTTTAGGGGGCTATATCCTATCCAGTAAAATAATACAGATCAGTGCAACATTCCCTGTAAATGACATTTAACAATAAAATGTAAGTAATGAGTTCTCATAACATACAGGTGCGTTTTGATAAGAAAACTTAAATTTCTTCGTTTAATCAAATTGCAATCAATTGTTTATCTACGTAAGACTGTATTTGGTTTATTTACATAAATTTAGTTAATTTAAAAACATAAAAACTTTTAGATAAATTTTGGATTAAAAAAGTGATGCCCCTAAATGTCGGCAACACATTATACAATTTTTAGGACGTGGCCATTTTAATGCCTTTACCACAGTTTATAGCTAAAGAATCAGTTCACTCACTTTGCGTCGGCACTTTGATCTCAATGTTCCAGTTTATACACTGAGCAACTCGGATAATACAATATATGACAACCGCCTATAATAAAACAGCAGTCTTCTGCGCATCCTGAATTTGTATCCCTGGAGTGGATATTATTTTGGAACTTTCAACTGATCCGAGTAAGCTAACTGATTCTTTAGCAATAAACTGAGACTCCAAAAATAATATTCACTGACACTGACAGCATCAAACAAAATAGCAGGTGCGTTTTAATCATCCGCTTCTGCTTCCGGAATTGTCGGTTTAGTCGTAATAAGGCATCAAAATGGCGGAGTTTTCTATCTCCTTTTAAAAGGCACTCAGAAAGCTGCGCAGTGCGACCATTCTCCGTATAGTAAAAGAAAATCAAAGTATGTGATATTAACCGTTGAGTAGCGACATAAAGCGTCGGTGCCTTTGATCTTGGGTGGTGCACATTTTCTTTCTCTCTCTTTTGACGTTATTGACAGAACGACACACTAAAACACTGCTCGAATTATGAACTGGTCTTGAATGTGATGTTTACACTGCTCGACGTAATTTGAAGTAAAACTCTTTTGTAATTTACATTTATAATAAAGGTTTGGTCATTAGGCAGTTTTATATTTATGAGTATTTAACTTATGTAATAAATATAAAAATATATATCGCTATTGATAAATTTCAATTTTTTTACCTACGTCTCGATGAGCTAGAGACTTGAAAGTTGGTAGGTGCACACCCAGACAACACCAAATCCCAGATATATCCACAGAATATCTTTTGTGGATATCCAATACATCCATAGGATATCAGAATTATCCCGTGGATCTAATATGGATATCCAAATGTCCGTCCATATCCAGAATATAGAAGAAATCCTATGGATATATCCAGCAAAATATCTAATGGGTATCTCCAGACAATACAAGAAATCCCAGAGATATCCAATATATCCAGTGGATCTAATCATGATATCTAATGATATCCCAGGATATAGAAGATATTCGGATATTCAGCAAAATATTTTATGGGTATCTTTAGTAGAGGTTCATAAATAACCAATGATTATTGAATAACGTCGAAAGAAAATAGCAGAGATAAAAATATTTTCAACACTCTGCCTTTGATTTTGCCCACTAAGGAGAAAGTAATCCTTATTAGGACTCTTCACTCTTCAGCAATAAATGGAAATTCTCGACTCCAGTCTCTAATGGAGTCTGATTGGGAAAAAAAAATTTGATCGAACTCAATTACGGCGGGTTGAGCATGAGCACGAGTGAAAGTGGTATCGCCATCAATACTTAGTAAGCAAAATCAAAAATTATATCTAGTGGATATGCACCATGATTTGCGTTTGCGCCTAGACTTTGATATATTTAGTGGATGTCCATGGGATATTGAATACACCTCAAAAAAAATTAATTTTAAATATCGGAACGGTACTATTAGCCACAATGGCGAGCACAATGGCGTAATTTTTAAATATTTTGCTATATAATTACTATTATTTATGGACATTTGCATGTCTATAAATTACATCTCATGGATATAAAATAGATATCCACCATGGACTTGACATTCAGTGGATATTGGGATGTCAAATAGATATCCAAAGGATTTGGTGTGCTGTCTGGGCAGGGTTTTGATTTTTGATAACAATAGAAATTATTACTCATGGACCTTCTTATTTATTAATCAAGTTGTCTCAAACTTTAAATTTCGCGTTGTTCAAACATGTCGCTGAACACAATTTTTCAGCTGCCGGACTAAAGTGAAAGGGGTTGTTTACATCTTTAGAAGACGTCTCGCCTCTCTATTTCGCGTCGGCGCACTAGAATTCGGTTCCTTAGCTGTCGCTACTCAACGGTTAATATACTTTGGTGTCAGTGAATATTATTTTTGAAGTCACAGTTTATTTCTAAAGAATCAGTTAGCTCACTCGGACCAGTTGAAAGTTCCAAAATAACATCCACTCCAGGGATACAAATTCAGGATACGCAGAAGACTGCTGTTTTATTATAGGCGATTGTCATATATTGTATTATCCGAGTTGCACAGTGTATAAACTGAAACATTAAGATCAAAAGTGCCGACGCAGAGTGAGCGATCTGATTCTTTAGCTGTAAACTGAGTCACAGGGTTCAAAATGGCCGCGCCCTATGTTGGACGTGACGGACCTCTCTCTTGCCTCGTATAGTAATCAAAGTATGTGACTGTAACTGACAGCAGCAAGCAAAATATCAGGTGCGTTTTAATCATACGCTTCTGCTTCCGGAATTGTCGGTTTAGTCGTTTTAACCTGTCAGATTAAAACAAGAAAACCGACAATTCCGAAGCAGAAGCGAATGATTAAAACGCACCTATTAAAAATATTGCGCCAAGATGTAGGCAACACGTAATAAGGGATCAAAATGGCGGAGTTTTCTATCTCCTTTTAAAAGGCACTCAGAAAGCTGCGCAGTGCGACCATTCTCCGTATAGTAAAAGAATATCAAAGTATGTGGTGGCTGGCGTTATAGAAATTTGCAATAAAGTGTATTTCACATTTAACTGTTTACTTGACAACAACTTTCGATATACAGGGCCGATGTGTGTAATTTGTATTTATTTTATTTTATTTAAAGTTTTTTTTATCACTATTTTCTTATTTATATTTTTTTAGTTCTGTATTGCTTAAGGGGATTACACAGTGTTTTTGATAATTATCGAATCAGTCTTATCTTATCACCACTTAAGAAATCAAAACATTGGCATATCTTTTAAAATTAACAATAGCACTGATATCGTCTACATCGTTTGTTTATATAAAGATTAAAGGATGGATCTTTATCTTATGATTTGACTTTATAAGGCACTTTTTGTAGACGTAATTCACATATTGTTTTTTGTCTCTCAAAAGCGATTCCAAGCAAATGAGTGGAACACCATGGATTCCATACAATTGTAATTAATAATTATTATCGACAATTTTTTGAAATGATTAGAACTGAAATGAGTTAGAATACTTAAGAAGCGTAGCATGAAATTATACTTGAAAAAGATTATTATTTAATTATGATGACAACAATTAACTGACAGATATAAGGTTTGTATTAAAAAATGTTTGTTTCGCAGTCATTGTAATACAATGTACCACAGTGATAATAGAACACTTATTAATAAAAAAAATTAGTAAACCCAATTGGCCAAAACAACATCCCATACAGCACAAATTATTTCAGAAGTGTTTCAGAAATATTTGAAACGTTTCAAACATATAACATTTCAAGCACAAGTTTCGGAAATATTTTAGTTAAATATTTCACTGAAAATGTTTCTGAAACATGGTATACATGTTACACAAAAGCTTACTAAACGGGTTATGTTGTAACAGGCGCACAATTAATGAAGAATTTGTAAGAAGATGAGAATATATGTAGTTATTTTATTTCATCCCATGTCCATGTCCACTCCAGCCACCAGCTACAAACATGCCTATATTCTAAATAATTATAGATTTGAGTCATTGGTTTTTAATATTCATGCGTTGTGAACTTGATATATGGGAAGCAGAATGTCTTTAGAAATTGAGGTGAGAACTACATAAATAATGCTTGATTAGGTGGATCTTCATGTTTTATTTAGACATGAGTAGGTATTGTTTTATTATAGTTAATTTAAAACAATATTAATAAAACTATTGTTAATCAAATAATTTGTATAAATCCTTTTTAATTACCTATATTTTGTTTCAGATTAGTGCATTTAAAAGAATTGGTAGAAATGAAGCGATTTGCCAGCTTTGGGGCTGTGCCGGTAAAAGTAACATCCAATTTATTGAACGTTTCCAGAATAAAGTATTTAGGAACATCGTCGATGCATCCTGGCTGCCGTAATACTGATCTTCATAGGGACCTTAAAGTGGAGTCTGTTGAAAATACAATACAAAAATGTGTCAGTAGTCACCAACAATGACTGCTCCAACATGCCAATGCCAA